GAGTGCTGGGATTATAGGCCTGCGCCACCACGCCCGGTTTGCATGATCTTATTTTGTCCTAATATGTGTCAGACTACTAGTTGATTTAAAATTTTTTTTTTCTTGTTTTTTTGAGACAGGATCTCCCTATGCAGTTCAGGCTGGCCTTGAACTCACTTTGTAGCCCAGCCTGGCCTTGAACTCAAAACAATCCTCCTGCCTCAGCCTTCAGAGTACTGGGATTATAGGTGTGCCCCACCATACCCAGTTTAGTTGATTTTAATTTTTAAAAATTTCCATCACATCACAGTGTGGTTCGTTGTCATGTGGACTTGGAGATAGTTCAGTCCAATCCCATCCTCTGCTGCCCCATCCTGTGTTTACCCAGACACTGCCACACAAGACTCAGCCTCTCAACATCTGCTGATGTCCTCTCACACTGATTTCTTCAAAGTCTGGTTTGATATTTCAGATAAAGGAAGTGATTCTGTTCTGTGAGTAATTTTACTCCACTGGAAGTGTAGAAAAGGTTTCACGTATCAAACACTTAAAGGAGATGGATATATGGAAAATTGGAAATAAGTGAAGCATAGAGGGTTCTTTATATGTATGGCAAACGACACTGCTTGTTTCCCCTTTACTGTACCTTTAAGATCTGCAGTTTGTAGAGGTCTTTAGATACTAAGATCAGAAGAGTGTCCTCGAGCAGACTTAAAATATTTTTATATAAAATCTGAAATACAAAAATATTTGCAAAGCCAGCCTGTCAGCCTTCAGTAAATTTTATCTGATGTGTAGAGTTTTTCATCCCAGTACCCTAAGTTCTCCCTACATTCCGAAAGTAAGAGAGAGGTGGCTCTGTGGATAATGCCTCACCCAATACTGTATGCCGTGGATTGTCTGCTTCCCCAGCGTAGAGACCAAGTGCACTGGGCTGCAATGCTGAGGAAACAGAGATCACATACTTCCCTCTTTTTTTTTGGTCTTTTTGAAGCAGGGTCTCACTATGCAGTTCAGGCTGGCCTTGAGCTCACTTTGTAACCCAGGCTGGTCTCGAACTCGCAACGATCCTCCTGCCTCAGCCTCCCGAATGCTGGGATTACAGGCATGCGCCACCATGCCCGGCTTCCTTCCTCATCTTACTATGGGACTCTTCCTACGTCAGCACTTCTCTGCCTAGATTCCCCCTCTCCTTTTTTTCTATTTTACATTTTTGGCTGTACTTTCCGGTAAACTCCCTGCCCTTTGTAAAGACAATTAACCAAATATATCTTCACCCATTTGTTCCTGTAAACATTATGCAATTTATTATATTCTGTCAGGCATAGAATTCACATAGGAATTCAAGGGCATGAGTCAGGGCTGAAAAATCTTATTAATCTGTTCAACCTAAGACAAGAGAAGGAGAAGACACGAAGCGGAGAAGGAACGCAAGGACTGCGGCCCAGGAAGACACATCCTGCAGGTCTGCCTCTGTACACCACAGTGTCATCTCAGGAGTAAGCAAGAAAGATCACACCTCCAGTTCCTCGGCATCCTCACCACTGGTCCGAACTGTTCCTTCGTCAAAACTCGGTAGGCCAAATATCATTTTAAAAGATGATTTTATGATCTCCAACTGGGTGTCGTATTGTTGTAAGGGATCCACAGAGCTGCAAAGAAAAAGATATATAATTATTAAATTTATCAGACTTAAAAGGTAATCTAAGTTTATTGACTTAATGATTAGAAAGTGTATTCTAGATATTGTGGTGCAGCTTTTGGTTTTCTATGATACATGGGTCTTAAGTGTTCTTTTAACAATGATGCTTTAAATATAAAGAACTTCTTTGTAAGTATAATCCACAATCAGTTATTGAGAAGTCATAAACATTCCCATCAAGTTCACAAACCCACAGTAAGCTTTAGACAGGTGAACTGTATTGCTGGCACACTTTCTCTGACCAATGACATCATGTTTTTTGGAATTTTAGTCCTTCTTCTTTCCCTTTCCATTTCTTTCTTTCTTTCTTTCTTTCTTTCTTTCTTGCTTTCTTGCTTTCTTGCTTTCTTGCTTTCTTGCTTTCTTTCTTTCTGCCTGTCTGCCTGTCTGTCTGTCTGTCTTTTTGAGACAGTGTCTTGCTACGCAGTTCAGGCTGGCCTTGAGCTCACTTTTAGTCCAGGCTGGTCTTGAACTCACAGCAATCCTCCTGACTTAGCCTCCTAAGTACTGGGATTATTGGCATGCACCACCATGCCCAGCTTAGTGTTTCTGATATTGAGATGCATCTTCAAATTGATGGCAAGTAAACCTGCCCATCGTCACTTAGAAGGATAATCTGCTTACCTATGTAATACAGAAAGACTGGGAAAGAACATAAGAAGGAAATAATAGTTGCTAAATTAAGATGGTAGAATTTGGAGTAATTTTTTATTTTTCACAACTGTGTCTTTTTGTTTGTTTAATTTTTTTGAGACAGGGTCTCAAAAAGACAGTGTCTTGCTCTGCAGTTTAGGCTGGCCTTGAATTCACTAGGTAGCCCAGGTTCGACCTCAAACTCACAACCATCCTTCTGCCTCAGCCTCCTGAATTCTGGGATTACAAGCATGTCCCACCACACCTGGCTTATGCTTTAAAAATATTTTCAAGATATTGAATTAGTGAAGTAAGAGAGCATTACAGTTTCCATACCTGGAGTTTATGGCCAGGATCATGGACTGATGACATAGCAGTGTTGCATATGCTTCCAATAGGCTGTTAGCTAGATGCTCCTAAGTACCACAGAGAAAAAGAATCAGTGATTACAGATCAGCGAAACTCACACATCATGTGTAGTTCTCCCTCCTACAGAGAAAAAAGGAACCAAATCAGACCAAAAACTAAGCCCAAGAGTTCATAAAAGTGTTGAGACTAAAAAAACAAAAAACCGTATAATCTCACAATAGTATATTGGCCTAAATGGTGGCCTTTTACAGACAATTAAGTCAGGCCCCTACTGAAGAATGGCTAAATTGACACTACAGAATGAGAATTACATACAGAGTAATGTGCAGTGAACTTAATTTGTTAGTCATTAAAAGTGGTAATTAGGGCTGGGGATTTAGTTCAGCGGCAAAAGCGCCTGCCTGGCAAGCGCAAGGTCGTGAGTTCGGTTCCTGGTACTGGAGAAAAACCGAAAAAAAAAAAAAAAAAAAGAACCAGGTTTCAAAAGTGGTAATTAAACAGAATCCATTAGGAACTTATGATTCTTTTCCTCCCCTCCCCAAGATACTGGAGAACGAGAGCACAATGGGCCAAAGCAATCTACAGAAAGAATAAAGCGGGAGGCATCACATTTCCTGATTTCAAAATACAATACAGAGTTAGAACAGTGTGGGCAGGCATAAAAACAGACGTATAGACCAGTGAAGCAGGATTGAGAGCCTAGAAATAAACCCAACCATAGGTGATGAATTAATCTTTGATTTGGGTGCCAAGAATAGACAAAGGGGAAAAGATGTGCTCCTCAGTAAATGGTGTTTGGATCTGGATACCCACCTGCAAAGGAATCAAATTGGGCCCTTCCCTTATACTACAAAAAAACACAGAGAGTAAAGCTTCTTGATGGTGATCTTGATGTTTTTGAGTGTGGCACCAAAATCATAACCAGTTAAAAGTAAAAATAAGAGAGATTTGATCAAACTAAAAAGGCTCTACACAGCAAAGGAAAGAAATGGTTAAGAAAACAAAAAGGTAATCTATGGCATGGAAGAAAGTATTTCCAAACTATTTATCTGGTAAAGGACTAATATCTAAAATATAAAAAGAACTTTACTCAATAATAGAAAAAGGGCAAAGGACTTTTCCAGCAAAGAAATAAAATGCCAATCAGTACATGAAAAAAACTCCCAGCATCACTACTCCTCAAGAAAAGTAAATGAAACCACAGTAGGACATCACTTCACACCTGTCAGGGTGCCTGCTCTTAAAAAGACAGGAAATAAGAAATGCTGATGAGGGTTTGGAGAAAGGAGAACGCATGCACAGTGTTGGTGGTGGTGCTCTGATGACTGAATAAATACAGGCCGCCCAGAGAAGATCTTGGTCTTAGCCCTCAGAGAATCTCACATTCTGTGAGAGGGTTTTGATCCTCCTGGAGTCCTGAAATCATATCATTTGCTTCTTTTGTTTAGCCTTTGCTGTACACTCTTTTGGGAGATTGCAGACCTCATCTGTTCACAGTAGCTAAGGGATACTGAATCTTAACCCGATAATGTTCACCTTGAAGAGCTGGATGGAGTACCCTGGAATGGTGTTACTTTTCTCCTACATGTTCTGCGCTTACCCATGCAAGCCTCCATTGCAATGTCTCATTTTGGGGCCATGAATGGTGTTCATTGAAATTCCTGATCTCTACTTCTGAAGTAGCTCAAAATTCTGCCTTTGAGAACTTTGATACGCTGTATGAGAATGATGTTTCTAAGAGGACTTATTCCTTCTAACGCAGAGCCAAAAGTCTACCAGGGATTCCTCATTCATTACCTTAACAAAGCGTTCTGCATCGGCGAGGGGCTCCTCCCGTGTCTCCAGGTTTGGGTGTTTGGGACCTGTGTTCTGCCTCTGTGTGTGGAGAGCTATCCCAGTGCATAGGGCTCCATGCTTGACTAACAAGTAAGAACAACTTCCTGATTGTTTGGGTATGGACTAACAAGACAGCGTTCCCATGGGGCATAGGCCTCTTTTCTAGGACACAGCACATTAATGATTTCCTGACATTTCCTCTTCGTGCTACATTCAGAATGAATGTTGCAAAGAAGCTGTTCTCCTCTCTCTAAAATATTTATATCCGTATCTGTAATCACTTCCTCACAGCACCAATTACTTTATGTAATCTTAAGAGAATGATTTTTTTGTTGTGTTGCTCATTAGCCTATCAAGTTACTACTTGGACGTAATGGCATAAAATCTGCTGTGTGATAGACAGCTCTCGAATGTGGAACTGTGCAGTGATTTGTCTAACTTTTTGTTCTGCTTACCATTTCATTTGCCCAGAAATTACTAGCTTCTGTTTCTCCAAGCAGCGACTAACTCAATATTCTGTCTCTTATGTAAGTGACAACTATGCAGGGCTGTTGGCTTAATGAGCTTTTCACATAAACCAGGTTCTGATTGGATTTGTATCCTTGGATATTAATTTGTAATATTCACAATGTCCTAAATCACTGGTTCTGAACACTGACAGTATATTAAGTGATTGAGAAATAATGACTTTGGTTGCAAAACCATGCCTCCTGAGACTTCGTCTGGAAGCCCAGGCATCAGTGCTTTTTAAGGCTTTCTGAGAAGCTGCCTGTTAAGTAAACCGTTTGTACAATCCTGCAGCTTGCTTGCACAGCAATACATTGTCATTTAGTTGACATATCATAACATCCCCCTCTTCTCCCATTTGTTACTGAAACTCCCCTCCCAGGTTATTGTTCTGCTCAATAAAGAACTGGCACTTATTTTGGGACAGTTTGAAGTCAGCTTTATTCAATCCATCTAGAAACTGAGCTTTCTACTTTTCCTGCCTTGTAGTGTTTATGTTAATGACAACATAATCAATGAATACTACTAATTTTTAGGTAGATCATATTACCAAATAGCTTCTCTACTTAATATTGGTATTAATTTAAACTAATAAATCTTTTTTTCTTCTTTTTTTCCCCCCTGGTACCAGGAATTGAACTCATGACCTTGCGCTTGCCAGGCAGGCGCTGTGATGCTGAGCTAAATCCCCAGGCCCTAAACTAATAAATCTCCAAAGGGCAGAAAAAGTCAGAGTCATTATCCTCATCAGCCAGTGCTATGTAGTCAAGGAAGAAGTGGTAATATTGACTTAGAAACTCTGATGTGTGAAGAACCACAATATCCCAGCCAAGGGTCTAGTGACCCTTTACGGCAAGACAGTTATATTGACCAGTACTGGTCCAGTGATTATGTTAATGAGTACACACTTTACAAATGATTACAATGGGGAAGACATCAAATAGCAAGATTTACAGTGAACGACACAGCTACATTTCAATCATCTGAGAACTCAAGGCATCAATCTCTTCCCCAACAGTCCTCCCAGAGCATTACTGGGCTTGTCAATTAACATTTTCAGATAAGCCAGTCCACTGATACACCCATGTCAGTGTGGTCACTTCGAGAAACACTTAGCTCTGCTGAGTTGGTTCTCCAGGATGTTTTCAAATGTGTCAGGTACTAGGAGTCTTAATATTCAAAGCCATCAGACTGTGGGGTTTCTTCAGATGTTACAGTTCAATATCTAACGAATGGGAGGGTCACAGAGAAGGAATGGAGGAAACGTAGCGGGAACATATGCCGTCTACACTACAATGGAGAGAAGTGTCTGACATCTTCACATATCGAACATGAGGAAGTCCCTACTATGTGTGAGTAAAAACACACCTTGGCACATTGCTATAAACTTTGCATTTGCTAAAGACAAAGATTAACAGCTTCTAAAAAGAGAAATAGATGCCAAAGTTCAGAGAATTAGACCTCTATCAGAATTTGGGGGGAGCATACTAGATAGCAAGCAATACATTTTATGCCTTCAAAGATTATATATACATATATGTATATATATATTTGAATATTTAAATTTTTTATTTTAAAGAGAAAAACAATAACAAAACAATAACAAAGACAAACACAAAAACAATAAAAATGATATAGTATTTCAAAATAAGATGATAGGAATTAACAGTGGTTGTTATATTACATATTGTTATCTTCAATGAAGTCACACATGTAAGAATGCCAGATTGATCAAACAATTAAAGAGAATAAAAAGTAATTAAAAAAACATTAGAAATGATATAGAGCTTCACTAAACAAGATGGTAGGGATTCAACAATGGTTGTTATTGTACCTATTGTTGTCTTCAAATTAGTTGTTCAGATTACCAGATATAAGCATGCAAAATCGGTCAAGAATAAAAAGTTTAAGCATTAACTGTTCCTTTCAATAAACCAATAGACATCAGCAATACAATTATCCCAGCTATCCTTGTATATACATATATATATTTTTTCCTTCCTTCTTTCTTTCTTTTCTCCTTTCCCCCATCCCAGTTGTTCCTTCCCTCTGAGCAATTTCTTTCCCTTTCACAATATCTATTTGTACCTTTTGGGTTTTATTTTCTCTTTCAGGTTCTTACACTAGGCAGACAATATGATGTTTACAAATGCGGGTCTGATTTTTTTTACTTTTGAGTATGGTCTCTAGTTGCATCCATTTACCTATAAAAGCCTCAAGTTTATCTCTTTTATAGCTGAGTAGTACTCCATGGTATAAAATACCACATCTTTTTAACCATTCCACAGTTGATGGGCATTTGAGTTGTTTCCAAGATCTAGCTATAACAAACTATGCTGCTATAAATATGGGTGCACATATATTGACGTGTTGTGATGTTTTCAGTTTTTCTGGAAAAATACCCAGAAGGGGTACAGCTGGGTTAAGTGGGACTTGTAATCCTAGCTTTGTGGGGAATCTCCACACTGATTTCCACAGTGGTTTCACCAGTCTACACTCCCACCAGCAGTGGAGAAGGGTTTCTTTTCCTCTACAGCCCCTCCAACATTTGTTATTGATTGATTTCTTGATGGCAGCCATTCTTTCTGGGGTGAGATGGAATCTCAGTGTTGTTTTAATTTGCATTTCTCAAATAACCAATGGTGCTGAACATTTTTTCCATATATTTATTTACCATTTGTATTTCTTCATCTGAGAAGTATGT